AAAAATTCTGTGGGTTTTTTTTTTTTTTTTTTTTTTTTTTTTTTTTTTTTTTTGCTATCTTACTTGAGATATCCAGAAATAAGGCTGTCTCATTCTGTAACAAAAATACAAAACAGATAAAGCAGACAGTGGTGCTGAAGAATCAGAGAGACAAGGATACCTGGAAAGAGCACATTGGTGATGAAGGTCGCAAAGATTTGGGGGAACTGTATGGTCCATGCCACAGTCCCATTTACCAGATGATGGTTCTGTTTAGGAAAGCCCAAGTCAATAGAGATTAATGATAGCAACAAAGATGAAACCTCCAACATGACCTTTGAAGTAAAGCTAATTTATTAGTACATCATTCGGGGATTTACTCACTTCATGTCTGTTTTTTTCCTTCAAAGTTTGCTTTGCCATAAATGTCACAACTTGATACTTCCCGTATTTCATTTTAACAGTCTCCTTCCATGGGTCAAATGTGTTTTATTTCAGACAGCCAAGGTTTAACTATAGGAATTCTGGTGACCATACTATGTCTTCTTGCTGCTGGCTTTGTGGTTTATCTCAAAAGGAAGACCATGATCCGACTGCTGTTTACAAATAAAAAAACAACCATTGAAAAGCTAAGGTACCCTGGGTTGGGGTTATCATCTTTTCAAGAAATGGTCGTGGAAACACTGTACAACAAACTTCTCACTTTGTTTTCCTTAGCAAACAAAAGGCCAGGTTTTCTAGATAGAAAGACGAGAGGTTTTGTTTGGTTTTGTTTGGGGGGGGGGCTGTTTTGTTTGTTGTCAGTGCTGGAGTTTTGTTTCTATTTTTGTTTTTAAGTTGTAAGCCAAATGCCTCTTTTACATTTCCTTCAGACACCCTGCTTCTTATTACATACATAGGCAGGGTGTTAGTGAATTCTGTTGATGTGTTTTTTCCTACCCTTACATTAGCTATTTTTATAAGACATAGAGACAATGAAATATTTTCCTCAAATGGGATAGCTTTTGACCCAGATATATTCAAAGACATTATTGCTGAAATGTCAGCTTCTTTAAAAATATCTTCCAGGTGTCACAAAGCTGCATTTCTATGGAATGCAAGAACTAATTTGACAGGATAGTGACTTTGAGAGGGGAAAAAAATAAATATTTAGTTTTTAATCTTATAAGAGGGTTAGATCATTTTTCCTTTGTGTGTTTGCCACAGAGAATTAAAATAAGTAAATTATTGTTTGAGTGTCACTGTAAATGAGATATAAAAACTTAAGTTAGTGAAAAGAGGCAACACCCTCGGTTAGCACGAATGGGGTTGCATTGCAGGTGTGTGCGCCCTTCTCGGTCATCCACTGGCTCCCAGCCTGGTCAGGCTCACCTCACCCACCTCGGAAAAGGCCTGACAAGGAAGCCGCCACATTCCAACACACCTAAGGTAAGTTTTGAGCAAATATAAGAACTCAGTGCATGCATGAAGACATGAGTTTTTTGATGTACAATTGAATAGGAGTAGGATCTTAGAGATCCTTCCTGTAACACAGTGAGTCAACATGCTCTGTTCAATATGGCTTACTGAGGGGGGCTTCCTATAACGTCAGGGACTGGAGTGAGGCCCAGGTACTTTCATGGAAGCCCTAATAGACCTTATTGGGACAATCAATGTCTCCTGTATGACACGGTGTATGGTAGGTTGTAAGCTATGATCCTTTCATTCTTCTAGATTGGTCAAATTCCCAGGGGGAGTCCCCTGGGCCTGCAGCCTAAGCAGGCTCCTGACACTGAGCCCCTCCTATGATTTCCAAATGCCACAATGAGATTTGGGTGAGAGTTTTTGGCTCACTATTGCTCCTAAAGCATTTCTTTTTTCTTTTATTCTTTTTTTTTGAGGGGTTTTTGCTATAGGGCACTTGCGCTCACCAGACAGACAGACAGAGACATAGAGACAGAAAGCGAGAAATCACCCCCCAGGGGGGATGGCCATGCCACAATTCCTTCTCCTCCATTCTCCTCTCGGGATCTTGGACACACACCCACATGCACCAGGCATGAGTTCTAAGCCACCGGGTCCAGGACGCGAACCACAGTCAACTACGTGGGAATCCACCGACATAGCCATTACGCTAACTGCTGGTTCCCGTTCCTAGAGCATTTCTAATAGTTACACTGAACCCTCAGTTTTGCCCATTCTGTTCCAGTTCTAAGCCATGGAAGTCCTGTCCACCTTATAGTTTCAAAGAACTGGATCCTCAATCCAAAGTACTTGTGGCTTTCTACTGTCTTAAATTTTCTTGTTACCCCAGTGACTAATTACTAGAGTTCACTCCAATAGTTTTTTCCCACCAAGTTTTTTTTTTAATACTCATAAAATTTTTAATTGGTGAACTCATTTAATGAAAAAGTCCTTATGGTATTAGTGACCAAGATTGGTATACAAGAAATGAAAAATAATTGAGAAAATCATTATCACAAATTCAGTAGTCAATAAATTGTTCTCTCTCTTTATCCAAAATGTATACAGTGTTGGATTGAGAAAAAATCTACTGTTTTTGATAAGCTGTATCACCTCTAATCCCCAAATATGGGGCTATAAACAAGAAAGGCTTTATTGTGATAGTCAAAAACTATAGCCTTAAGAGTAAAAAACTGAAAATGATCCAAGTATCACATCAACAGGTAAAAGGATAAACTGTGATATATTTGCATAATGGAATGCTATTGAACAATAAGAAGGAATGAACGTCATAGATGAATGTCAGAATAATTATTCTAGGAGGCCAAACCAAAAACAAAACAAACAAACAAGAGTACCTCTTCTATGATCCTATTTGTATATAATCGTAAAAAAGAAAAAAAAAAAAAGCTAATATATAGCAACATAAAGCAGATCAATGGTTGCCAAGGTAGGGATCATGTATTAATAGAAGGGTGAGAGGGAAGAATGACAAGAAGACTCTTCAGGGTGATGGATACATCCATTATCTTGCTGGTTGTAATGGTTTCATGGGCGTAAACATAGATCAAAAATTACCAAATTGTACACTTTAAATATATATAGTTAATCATATATCAAGCCTCAATTAAGTTGTTTTTAAAAAAGAGGAAGATGGGGGACCAGCAGTTAGCATAATGGCTATGTCACTGAACTCCCATGTAGTCTACTGCGGTTTGAGTGCCAGACCTGGCAGCTTAAACTCACACCGGGTGCATGTGCGTGCATGCCCGAGATCCCAAGAGGAGAATGGAGGAGAAGGGATTGCGGCATGGCCATCCCCCATGGGGAGTGATTTCTCGCTTTCTATCTCTCTGTCTCTCCCTGTCTTCCTGGCAAGCGCACATGCCCTATAGCAAAAACCTCTTAAAAAAAAAAAAGAAAAGAAAAGAAAGAAAAGAAAAAAAAGGAAAATTTAGCAAAGAAGAGGTGAGGGGATGAAGTGAAAAGCTCCTGCTATATTTGTTCTGATCTGTCTCTGACATAAGGGAACCACACAAGAGAGAGATGTCTCCAGACACAAGTCTCTAGCCTCAACCCTGGCTTCCTAAAGTCTTGCTCTCAATCTCCTGGTAGTTTTCCCAGTTCTCATGGATACTGCACATCAAGCTGTGTCTTGTTTTCTTACCCCTTTGAAATTTCCTTAAGATCTAAGTCTGTGTCTTTATACTTACTGGTACTACATCAAGGTCTTGTACCTATTTAATTAATTAACCCAGTTTTTAAAAAATTTAAATGAAAATTCCTCTATTCCAGATTTTGCTATAGAGGGGTAGGGGGGTGTTTGTTAGAATTTTGAAGTTTAAATAAATAATGGATTCTCTCTATGTCTTTTATTTGCCCCACTCCCCCTTCACCTTAAGCTGGAGCAGAGGAATTAATACTGCTTTTTCCATTAAAAAAAATGATATACCGAGTGTCTGCACTCTATGACTGAAACTAATTGTCTAAAGGATATAGAAACGCAGTATATAGATGTAAATACCAGATAGAGTGTGTGTGAAAGAGGAGGGTCTGAGGAAGGACATTTGGGGGAGGGACAGGGAGGAAAAGCATTAATGGCACAAAGAGGTGTGGTATTATCTGTTGAAGATATTTCATACTTTTATCAACAGTACTAGGGAGAAATGTTCACCAGTTGAAATATCCATTTTGTAAGACAAATAATAAATGTGATTGAATGTATGGAAGAAAATGAAACAAAAAAAAATTTTTTAAAAAAGGAAAAAAAGTGGTATTTCAAAACCCATTATATGATGAATTTCTGCTTTGACCATGCAGGAAAACCCCAGGAGATTGCCACAGTGTCAGAATGTAGACATCAGCAGACCCCTCAAAGTGCTTGATGTCCCTCAGCCCCAGTCACCTCAGCGAGTACTTCCATCTGTCCACCAGCCTCTGCGTGCACCCCGCTGCGTGCATGCCCGAGATCCCAAGAGGAGAATGGAGGAGAAGGGATTGCGGCATGGCCATCCCCCATGGGGAGTGATTTCTCGCTTTCTATCTCTCTGTCTCTCCCTGTCTTCCTGGCAAGCGCACATGCCCTATAGCAAAAACCTCTTAAAAAAAAAAAAGAAAAGAAAAGAAAGAAAAGAAAAAAAAGGAAAATTTAGCAAAGAAGAGGTGAGGGGATGAAGTGAAAAGCTCCTGCTATATTTGTTCTGATCTGTCTCTGACATAAGGGAACCACACAAGAGAGAGATGTCTCCAGACACAAGTCTCTAGCCTCAACCCTGGCTTCCTAAAGTCTTGCTCTCAATCTCCTGGTAGTTTTCCCAGTTCTCATGGATACTGCACATCAAGCTGTGTCTTGTTTTCTTACCCCTTTGAAATTTCCTTAAGATCTAAGTCTGTGTCTTTATACTTACTGGTACTACATCAAGGTCTTGTACCTATTTAATTAATTAACCCAGTTTTTAAAAAATTTAAATGAAAATTCCTCTATTCCAGATTTTGCTATAGAGGGGTAGGGGGGTGTTTGTTAGAATTTTGAAGTTTAAATAAATAATGGATTCTCTCTATGTCTTTTATTTGCCCCACTCCCCCTTCACCTTAAGCTGGAGCAGAGGAATTAATACTGCTTTTTCCATTAAAAAAAATGATATACCGAGTGTCTGCACTCTATGACTGAAACTAATTGTCTAAAGGATATAGAAACGCAGTATATAGATGTAAATACCAGATAGAGTGTGTGTGAAAGAGGAGGGTCTGAGGAAGGACATTTGGGGGAGGGACAGGGAGGAAAAGCATTAATGGCACAAAGAGGTGTGGTATTATCTGTTGAAGATATTTCATACTTTTATCAACAGTACTAGGGAGAAATGTTCACCAGTTGAAATATCCATTTTGTAAGACAAATAATAAATGTGATTGAATGTATGGAAGAAAATGAAACAAAAAAAAATTTTTTAAAAAAGGAAAAAAAGTGGTATTTCAAAACCCATTATATGATGAATTTCTGCTTTGACCATGCAGGAAAACCCCAGGAGATTGCCACAGTGTCAGAATGTAGACATCAGCAGACCCCTCAAAGTGCTTGATGTCCCTCAGCCCCAGTCACCTCAGCGAGTACTTCCATCTGTCCACCAGCCTCTGCGTGCACCCAGCGTCCCAGCCAGATCCCTGCCAGCCATCCCTGCACTCAGGCAGGGCCAGGTATGCCTCCGATGTTAATTTACCAGGACGTAGTTCAAATCTAGGCTGCTACTTGCTAATACGTGAGCTTGAACAAGCTCTTTCACTTCTCAGTACCTCTGTAAACTGAAGATAACACAGATGGTTAAATGAGAAAATCCCCATAAAGCAGTTAGTACAGTGTCTGGAGCATAGGAAGAGTACAATATATTTTAATTTACTATTTTTTTTAATATTCAGAATAGTTAGGGTGTCCATGTAACTTATTATCTAAACCATAAGACTCCTGAGATAGCAGGGGGCACTATTAATAATTAGGTCATGGCCCAGCCAAGATGGCACACTCTGTAGTATATTAAACTATAGTGCTGGAAGTCACATGACTAGCTACAGGTTTGAAAACTCCAGTTGCCTTGAAAACATACCTTAATACATGAGCATGTGAGATCCTAACGAGTTAGAGGGCTTGAGAAAAAGGAGATTATGGCATAGTGACATGCTGTCAAAGGTACTTTCCTTCTCGCATGCATGTACATGCTCTCTATCATTAAAAAAAAAAGGGGGGAACCCGCAGTTAGCGTAATGGCTATGTCACTGAACACCCATGTAGTCAACCGCAGTTCGCGTTCTGGACCTGGTGGCTTAAAATCACACTGGGCGCGTGTGCATGCGTGCCCAAGATCCCGGAAGGAGAATGGAAGAGAAGGGATTGCGGCATGGCCATCCCCCTTGGGGGGTGATTTCTCGCTCTCTGTCTCTCTCTCTCTCTGTCTGCCGAGCGCACGTGCCCTATAGCAAAAACCTCTCAAAAAAAAAAAAATCCTCCAACAATAAATTTGGAAAATCTAGTTTCTATTCCTTCAAAAACAAATAATTAGATCTGGACAGTAAAAGAGGTGCAGGTAATCCAAGACAGATGGTCACCCTAAGAATAATAATGGTTATACTTTCTTAACATTTTTCATTTTCAAAATTATTTTCAAAACTTTCACCATCTATTTATTTCATGTCTCTGTTCTAAACTTTGCACTGTATGGGAAACTTTGTGTATATTATCCACTTGTCTGCTGTTTTGAGAAGTAATAGTTTCTGCTTATTATGACCATGAATGTGAAATTTCCCAAATTGAAATTTAAGGAAGCAAAAACCACCAAGAAAATGGAAAACACAAAGAGATAATAATGACTGGTGATTTTTTTGTTCCTATCATTGTTACATTTTCTCCTAGCTTTTATATAATTGTGTATTTTTACCGTAATTTACATTATTCTTTCTATATACTTTTTATTTTTGCCTTAAAGATCATTCTATTTAAAATGCATTAAAATTCTTAAATGTGAGCTGACTATATGGCACAGCACTGCTCAAAAGAAGCTGGATCCCACATGGTGACCAGGTTCAAATCTCTGGCCTGGTCAGCCAGAAAGCACAATGAGTGTCCAAGAGCCTACAGGCTAGAGTACTGAAAAGTTCATCAGACGCGACCATACCCTGTGAAGGGTGCTCATGTCTTTATTTCTCTTTCACATACATGTGCATATGCTATATCATGAACAAAGAAATTCTTAATAATGTGATTTTAGCAATAGCACTATATTTGAATAATTTTACTTGACAATTAGTGGGCATGTTTGGATGTCTCTACATTGTGCTATTTATAAGTAGTGTGTTAAGGTCTAGTCATATAAATTTTAGCCATCTTTAATTACTCCCTTAAGAGATATTCTGAAAAGTGAAATATTGTGTTAAAAAAATAGTACAATCATTTTAAGCTTCATAGTGTATAAATTAGTGTTTTTTCACTTGCTATAGGACACATGCACTTGCTGGAAAGAGAGAGAAAAAGCACATCCAGGGCTGATGACCATACCACAGTCCCTTTTTCTGCATTCTCCTCTCAGGATTTTGGGCATGCATGCATATGTGCCCAGCATGTTTTTCAAACCATCGAGTTCATGATTCAAATGGTGCAGTCAGCCATGTGAAAACACTAATCATAGGAAAACTGGAGTGAATATACGAATAGTAGATGAAGTAGACTTTAGAGCAAAGATTATCAGAGCAAAAGAATGACATTATATACTGATAGAAGGGTCAATTACTCAAGAATGCACAACAATCAAAATTGAGTATCATAATCAACAGAATGTCAAAAAATGTGAAATCCAGTTACCTTAACCACCATGCCACCAACTGGCCCAATACTAATTTTTCAGAAATTTTATATACATTATGATTTCATAGCATTATATTTCTACCATAACTTTGCTGGCACTAAATATTAACATATGAAAGCTTTGCCTACTTGATAAATAAAATATTTCATTTTTTTCTGGTTAGTAGTTCTTAGAAAAGTTGAAGCTTCTAACTATAATTGTGTCTCCTTTTTGTTCATCAGTTTTTACTTCATGGTTTTTGACATTCTGTTGATTGTGATACTCAATTTTGATTGTTGTGCATTCTTGAGTAATTGACCCTTCTATCAGTATATAATGTCATTCTTTTGCTCTGATAATCTTTGCTCTAAAGTCTACTTCATCTTCTATTCGTATATTCACTCCAGTTTTTCTATGATTAGTGTTTTCAAGGTATGTCTTTTTTTATACTTTTACTTTTAGCCTTCCTATAGCATTATATTCAGTTTCTTGAGATGACATAGTAATTAAACCATAAGTTTTTTAATTCATTGTGTCAGTCACTATCTTCTAATATATGTGTTTAAACCATTTACATTAATGCATTTATTTATATTATCATTTGTCTATCATTTTAATATTTTGTTCCCTCCAATTTTTGTTGCATGTACTCTCTTTCCTGCATTTCTGTGGTGTGTTGGACATTTTTCAGTATTCCATTCATATTTATTAATCTATCTTGTTTTTGAGTGTATATGTGTGTGTGTATGTGTATATATGTGTGTGTGTATATATATATATGTGTGTGTGTGTGTATACATGTATGTGTATATGTATACACACATACGTGTGTGTGTGTATAGGAGAGAGATTTTTTTGCTATGGGATGCGTGCACTCACCAGAGAGACAGAAAGCAAGAAATCACTGCCCAGGGGAGAATGACCACGCCATAATCCCTTCTCCTCCATTATCCTCTCAGGATTTTAGGCATGCATGCACACATGCATGGCATAGTTTTAAGCTTCTGGGTCTGGGGCTCAAACTGTGGTTGACCATGTGGGAGTCCAGCAACATAACCATTTCACCACCTGCTGGTCCCAGGTATGTTTTTATATAGTTTTTTATGTGACTGAACAAGATCTAGAACAAGATTTCTCAACCTCAGCATTTTAACATTTAGGCTGGACAACTGTTGTGTGGGATTTTCCTATGCATTGTAGGATATTAAGCAGCATCTATGGCCTCTACCAAGAAAATGGCAGTAATTATGTCACCAAAAATGTTCCCTGAAGAGAAAAAAATCATACCTTATTGAAAAAATCAGTGCTCTAAAAATTGCAATATGTGTACATAATTTATCATGGCCTACTGATATCAATATTTTATCACTTCAGGTGGTATACAGAAACTTTAATACCTTTTAGGTTTCTTTATCTTTCTTCCTTTATTGCATAGGTCTTAGTTACTACCTTTATGTATATCGAGAACCATTTCAGATGTTACAATTTTTGAAACTCAAGAAGTCTCTATTATATTTACTCATATATTTTACCCTCTCTGTTTTCCTTTACTGCTGATGTTGTTAGTTTATTATTTTCTTTCTGTATGAAAAACTTCCTTTAGATATTTCCTTAAGGCAGATCCACTGATGACAAATTTTTAGTTTTTCTTCATCTGAGAATGTCTTTATTGCATCTTTGTTCTTGAAGGATATTTCTGCTGGGTATAGAATTCTGAATTCACTGTTTCCTTCTTTTGGCACCCGAAAAGTATTGTTCCACTTCCTTCTGGACTCCATGGTGATTAGAAATCTACTAAAATTTCTGCCCATAGTCTCTGTTCTAGTCAATAGATGTGGTCTCTTATTGCAAGAAAGAATAGAAAGCAGAGATCTTTCGATCTCTTGGCTATGATGCCTGATTAGGAAGGAGAAGGAGACATGGCTTTTTTCTGGTGTGGAATAAGGTTAGGCATGGTTGGAATGTTTCTGTTTTTCTATTCTGCCACTCCCAGTCTTTGGCTAGATAGAGCAGGCTTTTCATGGGGCTTTTGTCTGGTGCTGCTAGTTATTTCCAAGTTGTGGAACTCTCCAGGGCCCAGGCTAAGATATATAAAAGAAAAAAAAATATATATATATATAAACATAAGAAATCACCATTAGGTAATAAGTAATTTCTTGAGCACTGAGGTCTCTAGTCAGTCCATTTATTTTTCTCCAACTTTCAGAGACACCCATCAGTTATTTTATAAATTTTGTCCAGATTTTTCTTGTTGTTGTAATTAGTAGTCAGAATAGGGTAAAATGTGCTTATTCTATTGTTCCCAGACCTCATTTCTTTTTATATTTCTTTGATTGCTGGTACATTTGAACTGCTTTTCATATATCTAATATGCAATGATAGGCTGGTAAACTGGCTCTTCAAAAAAAACCCTGGTTTATAGTTGATTTCACTGCTGTGAAAACTCCCACCATTGCCAATTTCAAGCTACTAATATGACATCACTGAATAAGGAGTAGAGAATTGGCTGTCATGGACTAGTACCAGCCAGCTCGAACATACCACTGCTATTAACTATTTGTTTTGTGAATTGTCTATTCCTATCTTTTGCCCACTTTTTTTTATTTGAGAGATAGAGTTTTTCTTTCAGATTCCTAAGTTGTTTTAATAGATTATACAATATATTGTAATTTTTATTTATGGCTTTTTTGGCATAAAAAGAAATCTGATATTAAATATTAAATTTATTCGTCTTTTGTAAATTCAATGTTTTCATGCTTGCAAAAGTTCTGACATTTCAACATCACTTAAGATACACACATACAATTTCTCCTGTTCATTTTAATAACTGTTGATAGTTCTTTTACATTGGTTTTTCTAATCCAT